AAATCTCAACCTGATAATTCATCTTTTCATTTCAATTTCTGCTGAATAATAACTCATTCTTGATCATACATGGCTCGTACCAAGCAAACCGCTCGCAAATCCACCGGCGGTAAGGCACCACGGAAGCAGCTAGCTACCAAGGCAGCCCGCAAATCAGCCCCTGCTACTGGTGGAGTCAAGAAGCCTCACCGCTTCCGCCCCGGGACAGTCGCTCTCCGTGAAATTCGCAAGTACCAGAAATCTACTGAGCTTCTCATCCGCAAACTGCCCTTCCAGAGGTTGGTCCGTGAAATTGCGCAGGACTTTAAGACTGATCTGAGATTCCAGAGCTCAGCTGTGGCGGCACTCCAAGAGGCTGCCGAGGCTTACCTGGTTGGGCTTTTTGAGGACACTAATTTATGTGCCATTCATGCTAAGAGGGTTACTATTATGCCTAAGGATATTCAGTTGGCCAGGAGGATTCGGGGTGAAAGGGCATAGTTTCAATTCTTGTTTGCTTGGAAGGGTTGTTTAGTTTTTGTAGACTTGTATTGATTATGAAGGATTTGTGATTCTACCCTCTTATTTTCACCTTCTCAATGAAATTTGAGCTTTACTGTTATAATCCCATTTGCATTCTTATTCGAGTTTGAGTAACCTTTGTTCAGAAAACAAAATTGATTTGAGTTTCGCTTTACACGAGTTATTAGCCCCCGACCCGGCGTTATCTTTGCTTGCATCCTCAAGTGACCTGGCCCAAATGGTTCACTGACGGGGCTTGCCTTGAATAAAAGGGATCAGCGTTTGGACCATGAAGCACTATAGTAGTAATAACTCTTCTTTATATATAGCTATAATCTCATTGTTCATTTTCTTTTGTACTCTACCTGCAGCAGCTAAGACCAAGCAGTTATATTTACATGAGTGAAATTGGTACTTTTCCAGCTCCATATGGCCATATCTATGCCGAGGGTGTTTAATATTTGTTATGGCCCAAGGTATTCTATCCAACCAAAAGACTTCTCCTAAAGCTCCATATAGGAGAATGGCCGCTGTAGCATAGGCTTGTTACCCCTCCAGAGCAATGTAGGTTTCTTATTACATAATCAGGCTGTCAATAGAAATGTTTATAGATCAATTTGGATCACATATCAGACCAGTGTAATACACAATTAATGCTTAAGATGTAATCAGACCAATCTCTAGTTGATTGTATTGGGCTGTGATGCCAAAATTGCCTTTTGTGTGTCCAATCCATT